CACAAGGGTTCTATACCCAACCCGGCCCTTTAAACCAACCCCAACCCAAACAGCCACCAGCCCATACCCATTCCACCCCCTTACCAGTTCCCTTAGCCCACTCCCAGCCCATCACAATTCCCAAACTGCAGCAGTCTCCATGCCACCGGCGGCTACCACCATTGCCGCCCCTCCGACGGCAGCCGACACCATCATGTCGCCGGCCGGCGGCCTCAGTTCCAGCATCGGCACTAGCAAACCTCATTCCTCCGGCAAGCATAATTCGATGCCCGAAATACTTGGGCCTGGAACTCTTTCTCAACCGGGCCGCGCCTCTCTGGCCACCGGCACTACAGTCTCGGCCACCGGAACCTCTTTGATAGGTCAACCATGATGGGCACTTTGGGCCTCTCCACAGCCCCCGGATCCATTCCTACTATTTCTACGGAAACTCCGGCCGCGACTTCCAAGGATCCCATTCTTTCCGGGACGCGATCATCGACAAATCCACCGTCATGACAAAATGACGGCGATTCACTTTTGAAAACTATCGGTAAAATCCCCGTGGGTCCATTTTTCGCTCCAAGGAGGGACGACACAAGGTAAGTCTCCCTAAGCTCAATGTTTCCTCCCTTGTTGAGTCGTATGAAAAAACCTGATATTTAAGTTTTCCTATACCGTCCCCCTCCTTCGGGATGTTACTGTTGGTCTAGAGAAATAAGGATATAAGAGTAGCGTCACGCCCATATACTATAACTTTAACCACGGTCTAGTCGTTTTCGGCCTTAAGAATGATTATAATTCGACATAGCTTAAGACGACGGCTATCGTCAGCGGGTGCACTGCCCGGGTGTTTAAATACACTGTTACGAATCGTGTATCGAATATCAGATTTTGTATCAAAACCGAATTAAAGAACCCGATTTAGACACTATGATTTGCTTGGAAACTAGCTTTTCTTAAGAAATATGATAATGATACAAAAGATGGTATGATAATGTCCAAAAAACGCATACAAATAAACCTACTAACTACCCAAATGCACTTGAAATGCAAAGAAAACTGAAATAAAAAACTGCTCCCGCCCAGGCCTTAGCGCCGCTAAGGTCCTTAGCGCCGCTAAGGGTCATTAGCGGCCGCTAATCATCTTAGCGTGAACCCTCTGTCCCTTTCATATCCGCAGCCTTAGCGGCGCTAAGGTCCTTAGCGCCGCTAATCCCTGAAAGTCCAGAATTTTTCTGCAGCTTCATTTTAGCTCGACGAGCCCGGTTGTACGCGTTCTTCAGCTGACGGCCCTCATACGCATCATTCCCGTCTCCTTCAAGATTGTCCTTGTCCTCAAGGACAAAATCCGGAAATTGAGTTTGCATATCGTGTAAACTTTCCCAAGTCGATTCCTCTTCCGGAAGTTGGTCCCATTCGATCAAGACTTCCCAACGGAAGCGACCAACTCTTTTTACCCTCTTATAATCCACTGCTCGTATTGGACGTATGATCATAGTGCCTTCGGAGTTCACTGTCGGCAGCCTCGGTTGAGCTCCTTGATTTTTTTCCAAGCTTCTTTTTAGTTGAGAAACATGAAGCACCGGATGAATTTGAGCTTCGGCCGGTAGATAAAGTTGATAGGCAACTTCCCCCACGCGTTCCACAATTTGGTATGGGCCATAGAAACGACTTTCCAGCTTGAATAGAGTCTTTTGAGAGATTGTGTGCTGGCGATAAGGTCTAAGCTTCAACTAAACCCAATCGCCCGGTTCGAATCGTTCCTCTCTTCTTCCTTTATCATAGTACTCCTTCATTCGATTGATTGACCCGTACAAATTTCCTTTGAGCTCCCGAATCATAAGATCTCGTTCCATGAGCTCACGATCCACCTCATCATTCGGTGATTTTCCCATCGGATAACTCACCAGTAGGGGTGCCTTCCGTCCATAAACCAACTCGAAAAGGGTGAATTTGGTTGATGCATGGTATGTTGTATTATACCAAAATTCGGCCCATGGTAGAAATCCTTCCCATCTTCTCGGAAATTCATGAACATAACATCGGAGATATTGTTCGAGAATGCGATTGGTTACCTCAGTTTGCTCGTCCGTTTGAGGATGATATGCTGAGCTCATAGCCAACTCGGTACCCTGCATTTTGAAAAACTCCTTCCAAAAACTACTCATGAACATTCGATCCCTATCCGATACAATGGACCGGGGCATCCCATGCAACTTCATCACATACTCAATGAATAACTTAGCTATGGATTTAGCCGTATACGGATGAGTAATAGGAATGAAATGTGCATACTTGGTAAGACGGTCCACAACCACCATGATCCCGTTGAACCCATTGGACATTGGAAGTCCTTCGATGAAGTCCATTGTTATGTCCTCCCAGATTCTTTCGGGTATCGGTAAAGGTTGTAAGAGCCCTCCCGGTTTTCTGGAATCTGACTTCACCCTTTGGCAAACGTCACACGTTGTTACGAACTCCCGAACGTCATTCTTTGCCCCTGGCCAATAAAAGGTATTGGATAGCCTTGTCCACGTACGATACACTCTCGAGTGTCCCCCAATCTTGGCTTCATGGAAATATTGTACCAGCTCATGTCTCAAGTGATCGGTTTCCGGTACATACACCCGACCTTTGTATAGTAACAAACCGCCATAAACATCATAATCTTGGACATCCTCCTCTTGAGCTTCCATTTTTCTACGAACCTCATTACAAAAGGCATCTTGAGCATTTGCCTCTCGTAGTTGATCCCATATAGCCCATGTTGGCCCCGATATGGCTTAAAGTTCCGC